GGGGGGGGGGGGGGGGGGGGGAGATGGATGGAGGGATGATTGGGCGGCTGACTGACGATAGATAGACATGCGTTATGGTTGTCTGTGTGCGCAAGAGGCTGGTATGTAGAGAGGAACGAGCTCAGCTATGTGTGTGTGGGATGCGGTTGCTTGTTTCTGTACTGTCTGGTGCCATTGAGTGAGGAAGTGTGACGTCTGCACCTGCAGAGAAGCCTGGTCTGGTCTCCATGAGTGCACTGTATATCCATCGCCCAACAGACATCAACAAAAATCCGGACTCGACTCGACTCGACTCCAATCTTGATTCATTGTCGAGCTAGGCTAGGCACACTTCCTCTCAACAGTGGCGCCCCGCCCCTCATCCCACTCCTAATTAGACACACACGCAACGCACACCAGACACACACAAGACACACATTCGTTATATGTGTTTGAATGTTGTATAGGGGATGAACGAACGACCAAACGCATTTGTGTCGGCCGTCTCTCTGTGTATGCGTACGTGTTTGGATATCCACAGCTGCTGGAAGCTCCCGAGGCTGGCCAGAATGGACCCGCCAATCCTGAGAGAGAGAGAGAGAGAGAGAGATCGACGGACGGACGGACGGACGGATGGACACAACGAGTCTGGGCCGATTAGCTCGTCTGATGCTCTGTGTGTCCTGCCTCCACTACACTCACCACGTCGAGAATTTGCGCTCGTTCGGCTGCGGAGAGGCAATCACTTTGAACCGAAGATTCTGAACCACACCGTGAAATGACACTCACTAGTCAGTGTGTGTGCGCATTGATCAATTGGCCCACCTACCGGTCCCATGTAGTCGTTGTGGAGCATCATCTTCTCCATCCGCTCAGGCAGACCTACACAGACAGACAGACAGACAGACAGACACGGACGCACAGCACACGATGCATGCCAGCCAGCCAGCCAGCCAGCCGGTGCGGTGCACGTGTGTGTGTGTGTGTGTGTGTGTTCCGTCCCCACCCTGAAAGCACGAGCCGCCTCCCGTGACGACGATGGCATTCAGCAGCTCCCTGGAGGGGATGCGATCACAACAAGACCAAGGAATCATGGAGGGAGGGCTGCCTGCCTGCCTGGCTCACTTGCGTGTCTCCAATGGAGCGCAGTGGAGCACATCTAATCGACCGATCGCGGAATCCAGGAGAGACAGACAGACATCCATCAGCTCTCCTGGATGTTGCTGGGTGGTGTGCTTGCAGGTGGCTGACCGACGAGCATCCGCGGGAGACCGGGAAAGCCGTAGATCTCCTCCTGCTGCACACAGACAGACAGACAGTCACACAGCGTGTGCACATGATGATTGGTGCTGTGCACTACGCAACGCATACTTCTGAAAAGAGCTCAGGTCGCAGGAGCCTCTCGGGCAGCCGATACTGGAAGGGATCTGACAGCACATACACATACACATACAGGTCTGTCGACCGTCGCAGCCATCTCATCCAACTATGTGGCTGGCCACCGGTCTCAATTTCTGTGCCGTCCGGCAGCACGAAAGGCGCACCCGGCAGACCCGTGACACTGCAAGGATGAAGGCAATGAGTGCAGACACACACACATGATAACGGCACGTGTGTGTGTGGGTGCGTGTATTGTATGGCCCACCCACCTGTCCACAAGTTTGTCGTCGTCCGCCACGCGGCACTGCTGCTCCTTCACCCGCCGCAGTTGCTGCACACAGAGAGGGAGAGAGATATGTGTACGTGGCGGCTGTGGGTGACCCACCCACCTTGCTACCTACCTCTCTGATTGCGAGATCCCTGTAGGACTCATGGACCTTGCTGATGTCCTGCTTGTCGTACTTCTCGCTCCCGTCAGTCACAGTCTTCTTGTACGCGAACTGGGGATGCACCGACTTGCGCCTGGGCGAGTGAGACCGACACACACACCATATATATGTATGTGTGTAATGAATGATCCATTCCCTGCTCTCTGTGTGTGTGTGTGTGTTGGGCAGGATGGCCGACTCGTTCCTTCATATACTTACTTCTGTGTGAGTATCTTGGCGAGCTCGTCTTCCAGAAGGTTGCCGCCAACAGGGTACTCCTGCACAGCTGACCGACACACACATACATGCCCAGCCAACACACAGTGTGGGCTGGCGTCATCCATCCCATCAGTCCGTTCCATGTCCATACAAATAGTTAGTTACTCTTCTGGTTAGCGAATCCGTCCGTGACGGCCACAGCCGTCGAGTGGTTCGCCCCGATGTCTGCAGTCAGAAACACACATATGACAACCAACATACAATCAATACACACCGACCGCCACACACATCTGCTCGACATAGCGTACGTACCAAGGGTGAGAGCGGTCGTCCTCCCGCTGGCATAGCTGAAGACAGACAGACAGACAGACACAGAAACGGATCACATCACATTTGCCAGATCACTGTGTCAGGAATGGCATTCGGATCAGTGTGTCAGTCAGGAATGGCGCGGCGTTGCGTTGCGTGTGTGTGTGTGTGTCTGCGTACGTGGCGAGGACAGCGGATTTGGCGACGTAGCAGGCGTTGACCTGCAGCAAGGCGGTGTGTGCCCGTGGCCTGCCCGTGTGTGGCTGTCGGTGTTGCACTGTACTGTACTGTCAGTACTGACTGCATGGGAGGACTCACTTGGAATGTCTCAAATAGGATCTGTGTGATCTTCTCCCGGTATGGCCTGCGATGCATTGCAATGCGGACAGACACGCAGGTGCATACGTGTCGAGAGCAGGGCGGGGCGACTCGACTCGACTGTGAGTCCACCCGGCTGGCTCACTTTGAGTGTCGTGTTGGCTCCGTTACGAGCACGGGGGTCTCTTTCCAGTTGATGCTCAGACCTGCACAGAAAAAAAGAACCGTCCAGTCCAACCAACATGTCACGTCCTCACACAGCATTAGGCGGCAGCAGCCTCTGTTGCCTCACTCACCTCTAGGGCTCTCGAGGTGATACAGAATCGTTGCCAGCATATCCTCGTCAACTGCAGCCACACACGCGATTCCCCTCCTCCCTCCCTCCCTCCCTCTGTCTGTATGACCTTACTCACCGTTGATCTGCGACCTGCCCCTGCAGATCCTGACGTCCTCTGCCGGCTGCTGGTCGCCATTGGCGTCTGCGGCGGGGGGCGGCGCCCTGGCCTCCCCGCTGTAGGCGTATGTGCATGCGGGTCGGACGGCCATGTGGTCCCGCTTGGCGAAGAAGTTGACGGGGTAGACCTTCTCGGCGTCATTCGCCTCGGGCACACCCACGGACTGATATGATCGACGCCATGCATGCACCCAGAGAGTCAGGCGGCCGAGCGTGTGTGTAGTCAAAACCTACCACTGGTTGGACGAATTTGGGGTTTTCTTCTCCTGCGTATCCGCATCGGATGCTCTGGCAGCCGATGTCCAGCACCACTGCAGACACCTCCTCACCTGCACACACACACATACAAACACGGACATACGCAGCAGGGAAACACAAGGCACACGAGTCACAGCCGATGAGCAGATCTATCAACTCACGCACCTATGCCGTGTTTCTAGTGTTCTCTCTCACCTCCGCTGTACATTCTCGTCGCAAGATCTGTGGAATAGTCAGCTCATTTTTCGTTCATTCTCACGGCTTAGCTCGCAAAAATCGCTGCCCGCCAAAGATGGCTTCTCTTCGCGATTTGCCGGGCGATACACTTGCAAACGTCCTCAGCTTCTGCACTCCCAGGGAATGCGGCAGGTCGGAAAAACCGAGGTTTCTCACTCCCCCATTTGTGTCTGTCGGGTGGTGTGTGTGTTGTCTTCAGGGCGGGCCTGTCCTCCTGGCTGTTTGCACAGCACCTGAACGCTGTTGCCCGGCTGCAGCTGCGGGAACACTTTCGCATTGCTGATCCGGATCAAGAGGGGTTCCTTTTGCCAGGCGAGCAAAAGGCACAGACAGTGTCACTCACATTCCGTACGTGGGGCCACACGGGTATGTCTATGTGGCTGTGTATGCCACTGTCTGTGTGTGCAATGGACGGCATACAGGTGAGACATTGCTGGCCTTTCTCGAGTTCAAGAGGATGATGAGCGGCGTCTTCCAGGTGCATGAGGGGCTGGGCGGGGCGATGTCAGACACACACCCTTCTCATGTCTACTTGGGTGGCTGAATGCATGTATGCATCAGAGGCTGGCCGTCTCCAACCGCCGCTTCATCGCCATCCTGCCATCCGGCCACCTGCTCTCAGCCGGAAGAAACGACGCCGGCGAACTCGGCAGGCCCTCACGCACATCACCAGCACGGCCAAAAAGAATGCGGCTGCGGGGAACTGCAGACGACGACACTCCCGTGCAAGTCGCCCTGGGTGAGCGGCACAGCGCCATCATCACCGAGCAGGGGCGGCTGCTGCAGGCGGGAATCGACTGGGCATCCAGCCCGTCGTCGAGACAGGACAAAGGCAGGATACGGCTCGAGGGCGTCAGGCGGGTCAGGGCACTAGAGTCCTTCACGGAGCTCCCCCAGCCGACGGCCTCTGAGAGCCTCGCCACAACAGACACGACGGACAGAGATCCGTTGAGGTCGCCGATTCTCACGACGAGCCACCTTCGGAGCTTGCCGCCTCCGCAAGCGTCGCCCCCGGACTCGCCCACCTCCACATCGACGTCTCGTGTAGTGCGGCGGGCGGTGCCCGAGAGCAGCAGCTTCAGAGGTTTCACTGAAGGGACGGAAGATACCAATGGGGTTAACGGGGGCAGTGGGGAGGCGGGGAGAGTCAAATTCAGAAGCGTCTCGTGCGGGCCTTTCAACACTGTGAGTGGCACTCGTGGATATATGCTCTGGATGGCTGAATGGGGCTTGGCTTTGCTCATGTGAGTGAGTATGTGTGTGTGTGTGTGAGTGTGTGTGGTGCAGGTGGCCCTGGGGTCATCTCCACGAGGAGGGAGCGAGTCGCTGCACTGCTATGGCATTCGCGTCTTCCCGGGGCAGCACGAACGTATAACCCAACACAGACACACACACAGACAGACAGACGGCCCCACCTACACATTTCCCATATGTCTCGGCTTCAGGCCGCGACCCTTTCCAGATCCCCCTAGCCCTCGACGGCAGCGACAATGTGCGGACTCTCCGGCACATGACCGCACAGACAGTGGTGGTGACTGACGACGGGAGGGTGTTCCGGCTGCGTGACGCGAGCCCGCGGCGTGGGGCGCGGTCACTGGCCGAGAGCACCAACGCCTCTGCGCCCCATTGGATTCCTTGCGGGAGGATTCGATGGGTGGTACGTCTATGTGACGAGAGACACACAAAGGACGAGGGAGAGGGAGGGAGGGAGAGAGTGTATGCAATGATTGCAGTGTGTGTGTTTGTGTGTGCATGTGATGTGGCATTATCGCTGTGCTGCCTGCCCTGCCAGGCCTCTGGGAAGCTTCATAACATGTGAGTGAACAAGTAGGAGGGAGAAGGAGAGGGAGAGGGAGAGGGGGGATGCTGTGCTGTGCTGTGCTGTGTGTGGCTTGAATCGAATCCGTCTTGCCTTGCTTGTTGGTTGTGTGTGTCTTTCTTTCTTTGTTTGTTTGTTTGTTTGTTTGTGTATGTCTGACATCCATCCATCAGTTGGGTGACCGATCGGGGAGAGGTCTATTCCATAGGCATCCGAAGATACGGCAATCTGGGCACGGGAGGTACGCCCGCACCGCCCCCGCCACACACACACGCTGCACAAGAAGGAACGAAATACACACACACATTCTTCAGCTTAATTGAAGAGTCTTTCCCTGATTGATGTGCTCAGGCAATGCTGGGCAGCAGCCAGACTTGCAGGTGAAGAGAATCCCATACCAATTGACATCTTCTGTCTGTCTTTGTGTGCGTTTGTCTATCTTGGTTGCAGATAGAGGGCGCCAGCCTTGCCCGTGTGCCGCTGCCCCCCGACGTCAACATCGTCCGGGCGGAATGCGGCGATTTCCACACGGTGTGTCTCAGCGACAAAGGCGAAATCTTTGCATTTGGACGCAACGACTCGTAAGCAAGCCAAGCACCCCACCCCACCCCTCACCATTCTCACACACACACATCCATTCATCCATCCATCCATCCCCCTTTCAGTGGGCAGCTGGGCGTTGGAGACACCACCAACAGGCCCCTCCCGGTGCGAGCCCGGCCACTTCGGGAGAACACACGGGTGGTTTCCGTCGGCGGAGGGCACGATTTCTCGGTTGTCAGCGACTCCTTTGGTGGCGTGTGGTGGGCGGGGCGGCGGCCGTGGCTGGACGAGAGGTCACAGGAGGTGCACTCGAGTGTGTTTGTGGAGGTGGCCGTGTCCTGCCATAGTCAGAGTCAAAGCCCTCTTGCTAGTGAGAGCATTGCTTCCGGCTCGCCCTCTCTGGCTGCGAGTGGTGGTGGTGGTGGTGAGGGTGGTGTGCATAAGGGCGAGAGTTGAGACGCGATGACGTGTGCTGTGTGTGTCGGACGATTTTGGTGCTGATTGACGTCAATGGATGAGTCAATGAATGAGTATCACATACGCACGCACACGATCCAGAGAGGGAGGGTCAGAGAGAGAGAGAGAGAGACAAGATGAAAAGGCACAGACCACTCACACCACACCACACCATACCACACCACATCAGATCAGATCCCACCGCTACCGTCTGTCTGTCTATCACTGTACTCATTGCTCCTTCCTCTCCTTGTACCCCTCCCGCTTTGTGCCAATTGTGGTGTGTTCGTTCACTGTGTCTTGTGTGGCTGCAGCCAGTGTGTGGAGGGAGGGATGTACACGCATACACGAACGGGTGGGTGCGACAAGGGAGGGAGGGAGGGAGGGAAAGATATATGCGATGGCGGCTCGTTTGGACCGCCGATAGCCAGCTGACTACGGACAGAGCGAGAGAGGGACGGGGAGAGGGGGAGAGGGGGAGAGGGAGGGCGATCGAGACAGACAGGGCAGGAAGGTGACTTCAAAACGACATTTACCTACCTACCGTTCACACACATGGACCAGACAGACGCAAAATGGCCTGGTGGCCACACACACACACACACACGCACACGCTACCGCTGTGTCAGTCAGCCAGTCCGCCCACACACATATATCCAATCCAGGCAGGCAGCTTTTGTACACGCAGCCAGCAGTTTATTGAGAGAGAGCCATACGCCCGGGCGTATGGTTGGTATGTTTATACAACACACACTTCTTCATCCATCCATCCATCCACGCACCCACTCACTCACTCACTCACCACACAGCAGACAGGACAGGGGAAGGCAGAGTTGCCTGCCTGCCTGCCTGTATGCTTGTGTGCCTGTGCTGCCTGGCCTGTATGTGTGTGGATGTGATCTGTCTGTTAGGTGTCACGTCACCAATAAGTGAGCAAAACGGACAGTGAGTGAGTGAGTGAGTGAGCGAACAAACAAACAAACAAGTACACAGAAACTTATGTATACCCCCACCCCCACCCTCTCTCTGTACGACACACACGACACCTGCTGCTCCCTTCATTCATCCATCCGTCAATCCACCCATCCATCCACCAGTTTCCACTCTACCTCCCTGCACACCGCCGACCAACCAATCTAACTAAACGACTCTTTGAATGAAGATCCGATCCATCTGTCTGTCGGAGGCTGGCTGGCCAACCTCTGTCAATCTGAACTGACTGCCCTTTTCTCTTCTCTCTGTCCTTTGTGCCAGGCGGCAGCGAGCTGCTGTACATACGCACCCCAACTCAGACAGACAGACGGACAGACAGACAGACGCAAGCCATCCAAGCACGTGTGCAGACTGTAGTCTTGCTTGACACACGTGCATGCAGTCGAGGGCAAAACACAGAGGGTGGGAGAGAAAGACGTTTGCTCGGGCAATTGGGAATGAATGGGCCTCCCGTGCGCATGATTACAGGAGAGCCCAAAAACAATGATAAACTAGACGGACCCACAGCAAACACCCACTCATCCATCCATCTCGTCATGCGATCCATACACACATACGAGTTGGGGGAGGGAGGGCATCACAAAGCAAGCACAAAGCAGGCCAAAAAACGAAGTTACGACAAAAGTGCGCCCACCACACCACACGCACCACACGCACCGCGCCCACACTGGTTTCCCCCCCTTCGTCAGCCCTCCCCCCGCCTCACAGGCTGCAACGACACCCCCCGGGAGACGCTGTGCCACTGGCTGTCGGCCTGCCGCTCCCGGCCGGTCCACGCGATGATGCTCATATCGCCTGACGCGCTGACGAATGCCGAGCGAGATGGTAGCGGGAGAGAGGGGACAGGAGAGGGGGCGGGGGGAGGAGAGGGCAACGGGGCGGGGGAGTGGCCGACGGTAGCCACGTCAGTCAGCATCGTCGATATCGACTCGTGCTCGGCGGGTCGGAATGACGACAGCCCGTCCTCGCACTGGCTGTGGCTGTGGGTGCTGCCGCCATTGCTGTGCGTATGTGCGTGGGTGTAGAAGCCGCCGTGATGGCGCACCACAACCTGCTCACCCTCACCCTCTTCGTGGCCATGGCCGTAAGGCTGGCTGGGGAAGCACGTGCAGACGACCAGGCTGACCACGCCCAGGACAAGCGAGAGGCTGACCACCGAATGCCACCCCAAGGCCAGCGCCCACGAGTCGCGCGACACGCCCGCAAACCGCCGCTCGTCGAACTGGTTGACGTCAATCATGAAGCTCTCAGTCCGCTGCAGGTAGAGCACACAGCCGGTGAGGGAAGTGAACGAGGCCGTCAGGCAGAGGGCGCTGGGCAGCCGCCGGCCGCCCTTGTGCCACTTGGCCTGTCTGGCCAGCATCAGCGAGGCGGCAGCGATGATCAGGGAGGCGGTGCCCAGGCAGCCGAGCAGATCGTGGGTGGCGCGGAGGAACTGGGCGGCATGACGGCAGCGAGGGATGTCGTTGAACTGACCCCATATGTAGCCATCACAGATCTGCATAGCCCAAAAGGACAGCAGTCACAGTGCGCCCACTGCTGACAGGCCTGCCAATCCTCTGCTCTCCTGTGCTCACCGCCTTCTTGAGTCTGTCGACGCTGTCGCCATTAGCAAACCGGAATATGGTTGACCTGTCCGCCCGAACACGCCACAGTGTCTGCGCAGAGAGAGATATCACACCACACACAGGTCTGCAAACTGATCGACCTCGCTGACTCTCTTGTGTGCTGTGCTGTGCTGTGCTGTGCGGTGGTGTGGTCTGTGCCGTCTTATGGTCCTACAATGGCCCAGCTGAAGGTCCTCTCGAACGTGGAGAAGTAGCGTATGGCGTAGAGCCTGCTGTGCCAGGAGGAGAAGGCGACGGACCATGCCGTGACGCACAGCCAGCAGATGACGCATACCAGCAGCGTCAGGGCCAGCCGGTCGACGCGCTCCGCCATCGACATGGGAGACCGGGGGTCCCGACGACCGCTCAACGACACCACCATGAAGTTGCTGCTCGGCGCATATCTGCCTTTGCTGGCCAGCACTGCACTCCACGCCGCACACCAAAGCAACGAACAGCCTTTTTGGGAGAACTGAATGGCAAACCAGTGGATCGCAGGGTTTCAATTGCAGGGTTTGCCGGTGAGCGGTTTGGCTGCTTTGAGCTAAGAGTGGGAAAGGCCTGGCAAAGATGGGGGAATTCCTCGTTGACACAGGTGAGTAAGCTGCATGATCCGTTTCTGGCCGGCCCCATCGGTTGTGGCACGTTGCTTCTTGCGTGTGACGCAGGTGTGGTGGACATCTCTGAGGACTATCAGGCCCCCCGCAGGCACTTCCCGCCAGACAAGCTGCCGAACATCATATTCCCCAAGGAGAAAGCCAGCGCCCTCACCGACAAAATCATCAAACAGGCGAGAGCGGTGCCAGGGCCGGGAACGTACGTCAAGGCATCCAATGTATGTGGCCGGGGGAGGGCTCTCCCTGGTGTTGGTTTCGCCTTTCGCATGCTTCTCTATGTGTGGGTTTGTGTGGTGCGTGTGTGGGGTGGATGCAGTGGGCTGAGGAAGGGAAGAAGAGTGCGGGAGTGTGGAGCTTCTCGAAATCAGGGCTGGACAAGGGGTGAGTGAGTCATTGAGAGAGTGAGGGCACCAGCACCACACCACACAATACAATACATTCCAGACACACCACACACAGCAGGACACAGACAAATTGACGATTGAACACCACCACACCAGACCCACTTGGACTGACATTTCTCCTTTCGACGTCCATGCAGTTCATGTCTGTCGGTGCCAAAGCACAAGAGCAAAGAGCCCGGCCCCGGCCAGTACAAGGCCGACGCCCTTGACGTCACCTTGCCACGGGTCACGGGCGGGCCGGCCTCCAAGGGCAGGAAAAAGACCTTCCTGGAGAATGCCGTGTGGAAGGCGCACCAGAGCCCAGCGCCGAATGCGTATAAGTACGAGAAGGTGAAGCCGCACATGGGGGCTCCGGCGTTTGATGTCAAGAAATCGGGAGGGGAGAGAATTAAGGCCCTCAAGAAAAGTGACGCGCCCGGGTGTGTGTGACGGAGACACAGAGAGAGAGAGAGAGATGGAGCAAGAGACACGTGTTTGCCTGCGTGTGTGTGTTTTGACAGTCCTGGTCACTATAAGGGGTACAAGGAGGGCCCGCTGACGTCAGGTCTGACCGAAGCGAAGGCCCCTGCCTTTCCATTCACCAAGGGCAAGGGCAACAATTTCGTTGACTACTACGTTAAGCTGAGACGGGGGGTGCCAGGTGAGAAACAAGCGACACGCATGGTCTTCTCCACTCTCGTGTGTGTATGTGTGTGTGTGTGTGTGTTGTCGTTGATGCAGGTCCCAATCAGTATGGTCAGATCAACCCTGACAAGGTGAGTGTGGGGACGAGGCTCAACACGGTCTACGGGTTCGGAGGGGCGAACATGAGGGGCGCGAGGTAGCACATGTCTGTCTGTATATTTATACGTGCCGCATGGGTGGGTGTCTGTCTGTTCCATGCTCTTTCTATATATACGACTCTTCTTCCGCCATGCCATGATGGTTATGAGTGAAATGTGTCTGTCGGGCGTCACACACATGCACTGCACCACTGCCAGACAGGCAATGCCGTCCATCGAGTCTGTCACAATTTCTCGCTTCCGTCCCGTCCACCCGCTACATATACATCCATCCATCCATCCATCCATCTATACCCCCGTCAGTCAGTCCATGTCGTCGTAGTCCTCAAAATCCTCTTGCTCGTAGCTCTGCTGTACATGAAGGTGGTCATTCTGTATGTATCGAACCGTACACACACACACACACACACACACAGAGAGAGAGAGAGAGGGACTGACACCGTCGTTTTTCATCCATCCGAGCGTCTTGTCTCCCTTCCCCAGCATCCACCAACCTGCATCCGCCATATGTCCACACTCTGCTGGACTGCTGGCATCGAAGGAGGGGCCACTGACAACCGACAGGGAAAACACCGAGACATCCATCACTCCCGGTGTCCGTGTCTCCCGCTCTTATTCACACTCACCTGATGGCTTGCTATGCTCCTTCTCCACCAGTGCCGCCCGCAGCACCTCTTCCTCTCCCTCTTGCGGGAGCGGCGGAGCGCTGGGTGGCGCGGCGCCCGTTGACGGCACCAACACGTGCGCGCCTCGGACGTTGTGCTGCCGAAGGAGCCGCCTCATCTCGTTCAGCTTCACTTGGTTCATCCGATACTCCTGCAATGGCGTGTTTGGACACTTGTGTGTAGGCGGCTACCCTTGAGTGGCTCACATTGTCTTTGGCTCTCAGCTGTGCGTCGAGCTCCTCAATCTGCCCGTGCAGCACCTTAAGCTCCGCCTCCTGCACGCGCATCTGACAGAACGAGGCGAGTCACGTGCAATGCGTCGGATTGTTCGCCTTTCCAGCTCACCGCCCGTTTATTTTTGGCTTCGTCCCTCGATCGTGCCTCTCTGACGGTCTGCAGATCCCGTGACAGCCGCTCAAGCTCCTCTGACGGCACTTCCTGAATGGATAAAACGGCGATTGTCTGAAACGGGGGGAACGCATGGTGCTCACTGACTTACATGAGGCGGCGGCGACTTGGCTTTGTGCGACTGCAAGTCAGTCACATCGATCTTGCCTTTCAGAAGAAGTGTGTACTTCCTGTCATCCAATCATCACACGTGCGTGCTCACTCGTGCGTGCGTGCGTGCGTGCGTGGGTGACCTGCCTCATGTGCTGTGCACCGACCTGAGTTTTCCTTCCAGGTCGATGCACTGGCCGTGCTGCTTCTTGGCCGCCTGCTCCATTTCCTGCTGCTTGGCCTTCAAGGCGTGGTTCTCCACCTTCAACCGACGCAGCTCCTCATTCAGCTGCCGAATCTATGGATAGATATACAGCAGGGAGGGACAAGGCGATCGACGTGGTGTGGCTGGCTGTCCGGGCGGCTGACCCTTGTGGGGATCTCTGCGTTGGCGTGTGCTGCGTCGGCAAGCGCTCTTTCCTGCTGACGCTGGACGCGCTGCAGACCCTTGTTGTCCCTCTACAGGCAGGCAGGCAGGCAGGGAAGTGGGAGTGTCCATGGTGGCTGACTCGCCTGGGTGTCTGCCTGCCTACCATGAGCTGCTCCAGCTGCCTTTCTCTCTGCTTGACCTCACTCTCAAGGGCCAGCACCTGCATCCATCCATGCGAGTACATCGAAAGATCCCACCTGTCCTGTGAATAGTTAGTTACCCGCTCGATGTTGCCGTTCTCGTCGAGCTGTCGTTTGAGTGCCGCGATGTCACGCCTGTAGATCTCCAGACGCTTGTGGGCGTTGCGAAGCTCCTCATCCTTGGCTGATGCATGATATGATGACACACCAAACGTGGTGTGTGTCTCGCCCACTGATCAATATTATGTCTCCGTCTCCCCTCCTCACCTCTCAGTGCCCGCGTCACAGCCTCCTCTCGTGAGTCCTTGGCGGTCTTGCTTATCTGAACCCTCGCCAAGTGAGCCTTCTCCCTTGTCTTTTTCCCACTTTGTGGCCGCGTACATGTGTGAGGACGGCATCCACCTGCTCGCACATGTCTTTCAGCTGCTGCTTGAGCTGCACGTTGGCCGCCTGAAGCTTCGACAAATACTCCGATCCTCGACGGTGCCGATCAGTGAGCGAAGGCAGGCCCTGGTGCAGAGACGCCGACACGCTCTGCTGAACACTGTACAGGCTGACAACAAAACGCTCCATGTCTCCCCTGAGAGCCATCTGTCCACTCCTCCCTTGCTTACTCCCTGTAATCTGTCGCCTTCTGTGGTGATGCTGCCACCGGTGGCGGGTGGTGCACCGAAGGGGCCTGGATGGCGGGCAGCAGGCCCCCCGTGTCGTGCTCATCGAGGGGGTCCTCCCTTTGGACATACAGAAGGGAAGCCCAGAAATCAATGACCTGCTGCAGAGACTTGTCGGGCATGATCCGCACCGCACAAGAGCTTCACTTCACTTTCAGACAACGTGCAGGACACTAGCAGCGGGGCGGGCACTTACGAGAGGCGCCGCCGAACGTCCCTAGTCGCTGAACACAAACACACGAACACTCACCACTGATGATTAAGAGGGGGCCGTGTGTATACCTTCTCTGAGCCGTGAAAGCAGGTCATCGGTGTCACGCAGGGCCTCCCCAGCCTTTGCAATCTCTGCTTCGTCCTGATCTTCCTGTCCTGCACCGACAGACATTGTCAAGTTGAACCACCAGAGGCAATTTGAAGAGGCCCAGCGTGTTCCTGTTTGAATTGGCTATTCGTACCAGTGTGAGCCTTAGGGCGGTGGTCTCTCTCTGCATCTCCCATCGGCTGCGAGCTTAGGCGTCTCAATGTGGGGGTCGTGTGGGGGGAGACGGAAAAGCCACGAATCAAACTTCACTCGCAGAAGCTCAGCGTTTGTCGGAAGTTCAATTCGCTCTTTAGCTGACAGCTTGTCCTGTTCGGCTTCGCCAGTCTGAGATACAGCGTCGACGGAAGAAAGCTCCTGGAAACTAAGAGGGCTGGCTGGTACGGATGGCGTTTCAGCGCTGCCAGTTGCCCTGTCAGAAGGGCTCACCGAAGGAGTCAGCCAAAGAAGACAAGAGGGAAAAGGCCCAGGTCATCTGTGCGGAGACCATGTCGCCCCAGGTAAGAAAAGAGGCCCACTGGCAGGCAGACATCCTTACCCCATCGAAAAGCATCGTCTATGCATGTATCGTGTGGCGTGGCGTGTCCTGCAGGACGCGAAAAGGTTTGTTGATCGCCGGATAAAGAATCGGTCTGAGTACCCGATGACATACAACACCAAAGGCACGGTGCAGCTCTCCCGCAGCTGGACTGATGTGAAATGGGAGGCCGGTGAGCACGGTGCGACTCCGGGCTGGCACTTCCGGTATGGCTACAATGCAGGCACTGTGGGGCTCTTACCAGATGTCCGCATGTAAGGGTCGTTCCCTGTCTGTCTCTGTCTCTTGCAGAGATCCTCACTCTGCTAGCTGCGACTATGTGAGCACTCGCTGGATGAGCGACAAGTCGAAGGCGTCGTTCCGTGAGAAGAAAAAGAGGGTACGAACACCGTCAGGGCACAGCCAACAGCAGAGACATGACGTCGCCCGTCCTTTCTACAGGCCGAGGCCAAGCGCCGTGAGCGACAGCTCGAGACGGCTCATCAGGACGAGCAGGACCCGCCTTCCGCCTCCACCCGGGACACGTCTTCTGCCTCGTCCGCTCGCGAGCTCGGCGAAGGGAAGGAGCCACAGAAAGCACCACCAAAAGAGCAACAGAAGGAGCAACAGAAGGAGGAAACATGGCGCTATGCCGCACACTCGGGAGACAAGGCTGGCTGGGTAACGTGTCTTGTGGGGCTATGGACGGTGTTTTGCTGCTCCTGCCAGGGGAAGCAGCCGAGCCTCGACGAATACGAGTGGGTGCCGTGCTCGCCAGGTACGCTTACGTGCTTTGCTGCCTTGTTACGCCATCCGTACATCCTTCTCTTCTTTCTGTGTGCCATGCATTTCTTAGAGGAGGACGAGATGAAGAGACAGGAGCAGGAGTGACGTGACGCTCGCCACAGAGATGAACATTGAGAGAAGAGAAGGAAGGGAAGGGAGAGGGCAAAGTGCATTGCTCCGTTTTCTCGTCCATGGGTGTGAGCTGCTGCGTGTGGTCTAGGTACCTAAGATGACCAGCGTGTGATCAGTATCGGGTTTGGGGTTGCACGGCCAAGGGAATAAGGTCCTCACCAGCTCGGTATGTCTTGTGTGCAGCGATGAAGGCAAGGCCATTGATATTCATCCATCGACAGACATCATATAAGAGACCCCACTGAGTCGACCAAGGTCGGTCTACTAATGAATACATGCATTCGTCAAAATGCCGGACAAAGAAGACAGCTGCAGCACACATGAAAGAAAGGCCAGAAGACGAGAGACTCATCAAGGCGCTCAATCTTAGCTGCACGGCTTCTCCATAACGGCAGAAGGACAGTTGTTGCTACAGCACAGTACGGGAGAGATGCCCCCAAACTTGAGGGAGAAGTGGGAGAGAATGGGACTTTTCTGCGTCAGCATGTCCACCCACAGCTTCTGCATCACCATTGACGAATTGACCCACGCGAGATCGAAGGTGTCGAGCAATCCTGCGTCTGCTACGGCGTCGAAAATTTCCTCTTCTGACTTAGCAAGGTCCCCAGGGTCTTCTGGTTCGCGATCCTGCTCAACAAAGACGCACATGATCGGACCTCCTCTCGTTCACGGCTCGGCTGACCTTGTCTAGTCCCGGCCGGGTGTTGTTGGATGTGAGGTTGGTTCCGCTGCCCCCGCCAGGCACTTGAGGCGGTGCAGCCGTCTGCGTTGTGTCCGGCTGGGTGGCCGGCTGTCGTTGCCCTGTCTCCCGGCCACCATTGCTGTTCGGCGGTGCCTCGGTGGCATGACCTGGTCCGCTGTGATCGTGCTCAGTCCCGTTGTGAGGCGGGGGGTCGTCAGCAGTGTTGGCGGGGATGGGGGAAGGGGGAGAGGTGTTTGGTGGAGACGTGTTTGGCTGTTGCTGCTGTGGTGGTTGTGTTTGCTGTTGTTGTTGCATGCGTCTCCGTCTCCTTGAGCTGGCCACTGTGTAGTCCATCATTGGCTCACTGAATGGGTACATGACATTGAAATATTCACAATACGAAATATTATCGAGATATGACAGCTCACAATATTTCGAAGATGAACCACACATTGAGATTGTCGATGTCGGTGTGGTAGAGGCGGACGCGGCCGCTAATATTGTACCAGTACTCCAATGTCTTCACCAAGGAGACCACCATCTGCACAAGGGCACCGTCTCACACATGGAGATTGGACATCTCTCTGTTACCTCCATGTGTGAGAGCTGGAGTCTCTCTTCGCTCGTGTCTCTGAAGAACACCCCCAATGTAGCCTCCACGACGCTGCCCCCTGTGTCAGTGCCATTCGGCGGTACACACAGGTAGGACAGCAGAGCAGATGGCTGGGCGGTGGCCAGAGGGGGCGTAGGGTTGCTGGCGTCGGGGGTTGCACGGCCCTGGTTGAGTGTGACGCGAATGGTGAAGTCGAGTTGCCTGTTGATGTTGAAAAGAAGACCGGCTTGCTCGCAGTCTGCACCGAGAAAGTGACAAAGGACAGCAAGGTTGACCACCATTTCATTGATTATACATGTGGGCCTACATGTGTCCACTTCTGTGACGTCAGGGATTTGGCAGTATGTGGTTGAGTAGCTCTCGTCGTTCTCCGCGTAGATTGACACATCGTTGTCACAGGTCAGGTCATTCTGGGGTGTAAAGCGTTCGTAAAAGCGGATGCCGACCATATTGGCATAGCCATCTGAGAGCACACATATCGGGAGGCGTTGGTTGTGCTGGGGGCTGTGTGCGCTCTGTCACCGTCATCGAATTTGTTGACTTGAATGCCTAGCTGCTCGCCCATCAGAGCAGGATATGGCAATGCGCGGAAAAAAACCGCAGCTACAGATGCATATAGAGCGGCGATCCACATACGGCGAGAGCATGTTTGTATGTCTCATACCTTCGCTGAAGTATGAGAACGCACTCTGCCCGACAGCCATGTTGCCGTTGGCAGCGGTCACGGTAACATCGCGGCTCTCAACCGTGTTGGCCGAGGTGATGGCAGCCACATTGCACCGCACCTGTGTGTTGGTGGCGGTGAACACGTCGGGCGAGACCAGCCTGCACCGAGTCGTTTACAGGGCAGTGAGTGCATGAATGAAAGCATGGAAGCACTTCTGTCATCGTACCTACGTGTGTCCCTTACCTGCAGTCTCGCTCGCCGATCGACACCTTGCTGATGACATCCCCCATGTCACTGGTGGTGACAGTGACTTGCCGGTCCGTGTAAAACTCATCGCTGCTGTCGAACTCCGCACTGGTGTTCAGCTGCGCAAAGGAGGGCTGAATACCCAGGAAATGACCTGGAGAGAGACAGGTATAGTGGAAGTGAAAAGGCAACGACTAGACATGGCTGCCGACCTGATAGGTATACGTGAAAGATCTTCTCGAGCTCGGCGAAGTTGCGATTCTCGGCCTCTATCTAATGCAGACAGACACCAAAGGAGACACAAGGGACAGTGACGAAAGGCCTTGTCGGCCGCCTTCATCCAACGTACCCGAATGTTGAAACTGAGGGTCGGCAGCGTGTTTCTGTTCATCAAGGTACCCAGCTGCTCCGCTTTTTCACTAGTGGCGTCGGTACCCCGGAGAGCAGGAAATGTGCACACAACCCCATTGGAGCCGGCATTCTTAATCTTGCAGCTCAGTTCCCACGCCTTGCCACCATAGCTCTCGGACGAGATGGCTCGCACGCTGGTAATATCCTCTTTCAAATCGGATGAGAGAATGGTGATGTCGGTGGCGCGTGTGGCGTCCATCCACACGGGGTCGACCAGCGAGATACTGCCCTCCTGAGGAAACGCCGACAGTGCAAACACAAGCGGCAGCGCAACCATCAGGATTTTAAGGACCCACCGCAGTAGATAGTAATAGATGGGCACCCTTCAAAGAGACACAGGCATGAGAGACGAACTCATTATGTCTTTGTTTGTATCGCACATACCAGTGGTATCTTTTCGGTACTTTTTCTTTCATCTGCTCTGGGTCCTCGGAGTGCAGCGCCATCTTGAGGCGACGAAAAAAGTTCCGGAATGATCGTTCTTTTTTGCGTTGGGGCTGGTGGTCCATGTCTCTCTGAAATGCCTCTGTCTTCTTGCGCACAGATGCAAAGACCTCGTCCCATTGCCCCTCGCTGATTAGGCCAAGATCACCGCCCACATTGTCCTGACACATAAACAGACAAACGTGTCTCTTCGCACATTGACGACAGTACATCAAGAGATCTCTGCTCACGAGATTAAACAAGAATATGGTCCCAAGGGCGTCGAACACCACATCCTGAACCCCTTCAGATCGCCAAAAAATCAGGGGGAGCGACGCGCAGCACAGCAACACGCAAAGAGAGTTAGAGAAGTTCCCGAGTGCGAAGAAGAAGTCACTCTTGAGCACTCCCGGGATGGCAATCAGCAGAAAAGCGTCCCGCTGGAAAGTGCGGGAGACCTTACAGAAACGACAGGAAGGAAGGAAGGAATGAGCGATCTGCCCCAAAGACAATCTGCTGTGTCTCACAATGACGGCGTTGATATTGAAGAGCAAGACGAAGAAGATCGCTATCACTTTCGTCGATATATTGTTGAAGGACGTCTTTGAGATGAAAAAATCCCAGCTCTTGAAGTCAAGCGCCGACACACCAGTATACAGCAGCAAAAGCGGCCCTTGAACGCACAGACGAGCAAAACACACCATCCGCACAAGAATGTGGTACATCAACGTTGATACCCGCGATTTGAACAAATGAGACACAAAGGCACAGAAACATGGTCACAGGATGGCGCTTCATGTCCTGGAACGACGCGCAAGCCATCCACGTGTAGATGTTCCTCTCTTCAAGCTCGAGAGTCTCCCCCTCCTCCCCCGTCCCCGCCAACACCACGCCCCTGTCTTTCATGGCTTCTTTAGCGCCCCCTCCGTCACCCGCATTCTCGGCGTTTGCTGACTCCATCTGGAGGTCGATGTAGGCTGCATCAGATTGTGCTGCCAGGGCCTGTCCGACAGGTGGCACGTCGACTGAGTGGAAACCATGTGCGGGGTCGGCCGGGGCAGGTTGGTGCTCGTCTGGTGGGAAGAATGCTGCGACAGGGGTGGCCTGAGGGGGAGAGTCAACCTGAACACATGCAAGAACCACCGGAATCAAAGAGGCATCTTCTGGCTTGTTCAGTGGGGCTACCTCCATGCTGTCGTTGGGCTTCGGAGCGTCGTCGCCGTCGCTAGCTTTGGCACGGTACTTCATCGCCTGCAACGAGGCCGGGGGGCAATAGGTCCTCGAGGTGCGGGAGCCTGCAAAAGCTCGCCTTTCTTGACTCACAACGAAGAAGTCATCTTCCACGAATGGCACGCGCTGGTGATGCTCTCGCCACGGGATGAATCGATCTCGACTGATCTTCTCTCGCCTCCCATCCAAGTCGGTCTTCGCCACAGCTCTGGCAGCACCGCTGAGCGCCCGCGAGATCTTGGAGGTGGCCGCCAACTCCAAGCTGACCTTCACAGCCACAGATGCCGACCTCTTCCTGCGCAAGCTCATCAGGGCCGGCAACGTCAAGAAAGCCGGGCCTCACTACGCAGCCTTGACGGACAGAGTCATCAGCTGCCTCGAGACCACCCAAGACGCGGCCACCACACGGCTGTTGCTGACCCGCTTCATCGAGCTCAAGTGCGCCAACACGTTCATGCGGGTGCTGCCGTTCTACTGCAAGAGGATGGACGAGGGCATGACTGTGGGTGATCATGTGACGGTGATATGGGGCCTGGCAGTGCTGCATCCGAAGGGAGACCACAGGGCGGTGCTGGATGAGCTTGTGCGACGGCTGAGGGGGCGGGCGGGCGAGATGAGCCGGTGGATGGTGTACAGGGCGGTGTTCAGCCTGGCCAAGCTCAACTACAGGGAGGGGAGGGAGCTCTACGAACAACTCGCACCTAAAAGTAAGTATGTATGCACCATAATGAGGGAAGGAAGGGATGGAAGTATGCACATGAGGGAAGGAAGGGATGGAGGGAGGTGGCTGTCACTCTCGACACACATGTGTGACGTGTGGCATGCATGGCAGTTCGCGAGAGGATCCAGAAGGAGCCTTACGGAGCATTCACTCCGAAGGAGCTCGTCAGCACACACACACACACACACACACACACAGAGGACAACATGACATCCACAGGGCACACACACAGACACACATGTGCCTGTATCCCTCCATCGATCTGGCCGGTTGGCTGTGTGTGTGTATGTCAGGTTCGCATTGGGTGGGCGTATGGTTGGCAGAAGGTGCGTGACGTGCCGCTGTTCGCCGACCTGTCCAAGGCCTACCAGCAGGCCATCGACGAGCTCGAGTACGCTGAGCTGAAAGTCCTCAAGCAGCTCTACCACGCCATGCACTTCCGGTCATTCAGTCAGTCGACATACATATGAATTCGTTGCCGCGCACGCACGTGTGCATGGCATGCGTGTGTGTGGACCGAACTAACAGGGACAAGGAGCTGCTTTGGAAGGTGGACCAGCAGCTGCAGGTGCTGCAGCCTCTCGGACGTAAGTACGTGTCAGACTTGCTTAGACAGACTCATATGACTCAGCCGACCGACATGCTCCCCATCCATGTGTGTGTGTGTGTGTGTGTGTGCAGCCCTGAATGCCGACTTCACCCCGCGCAGGAAGCCCTTCAAGAACAAGGAGCAGCGGGTGCGCACACCACACCACACCCACACAGACAAACACAAGGCGGGGCACACACTTTGCAACTGTGCGTGTGTATCTGTGCTGGTCGGTTCAAACCATTGTGTATAGGTGTCGATGACGGATCCGCTCATCCGGCCCCTGTCAAAGATAAAGCGGAGGAAGCTGCTGGGGAGGAAGTGAGTCCATGGACTCACTCTGTGCTGCATAGCATACATGTGTGTGTGAGGGGCGCGCCCCTGTCAGTCAGCTGCCTGTCAAGTCGATTGGTGATAGCACGAACTAACTGTCGATATGCGTCGGTGTGTGTGGATGACACGAGAGCTCGACCGATCTATCCATTCGTCGAGTGAGTCGATCCATCGCCATCCACACGGTCAGTTCCTCACCAGCTGCTGGTCAAAACCTTCGTTAGGGGGTCAGACAGACCAGTGACTGAGTGAGTGAGTGAGTGGCAAAAAGTCGTGCCTGCCTCTGCCCTACCCAGCCCAGCCAGCTCTGCATAGCATCATGTCTGTCTGTCTGTCTCTCTCAATTATGTACAGCCAGCCACATGGGACAAAACACACGGACTTTCACAAGGAAGGCTAGCCACAACCACAACACCATATGTATGCCTACACAACAATTCACCCCCACACACAACCACACCCAATCAGATACACCCACATATTCCTCTCGATCACTGGTTCTCCGATCTGAGAATCCTGAGAGCGGCCATCTGCGTGCAGACGTCCATAGGCGCCCCTCGATCCCCCGTAGGCGACGCCAGACACAGCAGGTCAGGGGCAATTCCGCCATAAGGGTTTCCGAGACGGGAAGGCGACACGTGCTGCCGCTTGGGAGTGAGATACTCCGCTATCGTCAGCTTCAGCGCCCCACCGTCAGGCAGCGGGAAGAAATGCTGGATGAGGCTCTTCCCGTACGTCCTCTCCCCCACTACCACGGCGCGTCCGTTATCACGCAGAGCGGCTGCGAAGATCTCTGCGGCACTCGCCGTGCCTCGGTTGACCAGCACAACCACTGGGGGAGGCCGGGAGGGAGAGGGAGAGGGAGGGGAAGGGGACAGGCTGGCCGCCGGCAGCGTGCCGTCTTCGGCAGTAGGTGGTGTTGGTGGTGGTGGTCTCCTGAGGTTGCGGATGGAGCCGACCTCATTGGGAAACCGCCTGTCGAAGTGGAACTCATCGACTGGCAGACAGACACCACAGCACTCATTCATAACGGAGTGTTCCTCTCTCTCTCTTGTGTCGTGTCGTCTTCCCCCGTGCGCACCACACCGCACCTGTATGTTTGGTGAGATAGCTACCCGACTCCCTGTTTGGCCAGGAGGTGATCATCCAGTACAGCACAGGCACATCAGTGACACGCCCACCACCACCGAACATCCTGGTAGACACTGCCGCCGTCTCCTGGCCTTGCTGCTGCTGCTGGGCGGGGTTGGGTGTGGGTGTGGGTGTGGGTGCGTTGGGGTCGTCAAGGAAGAGGGAGGCGATGAGCATCGCCTCCTGAAACACACCGCCGTAGTTGTTGCGCAGATCGATGATGTCTGCACTCACACAGGGAGACACAAACAACAACGACGGATCGGCGGCTGGTGGGTGAATGGCACCGCTTCTTTCTCTGTCTATGAGTGAGTGTTACATCCGAGAGGTGGGCTGTTCGCTGAAGTCTGGCGCTCCGACAGGGATGCGCCCGTCCTGCCGTCGACGACAGCCTGTCCCCGCTCAAATGCGTCGAGGACGGGCAGCAACTTGTTGAATGTCGACCTGGAGAAGTAGTGCAGCCTGCAGACAGACCCACACCACCGAACCATGCCGTGCGGTAGGTGGACACTTATTCGCATAAGTCGTGGTCACTGATCCGACGTACCTACCTAAGGTATGCGATCCTTTCCCCTTCTCCCGGCTCTCTCGCACCCCAGGCCCCCAACAGCCGTTTCAGAGACCCCTTCTCCTCGTCCTGATACCTTTGCAGAGGGACCCACTCGGCCACCAGTGGCGGCAAGACGCCGTTGTCTCGCCTCAGATCGACATCCACCTTCAGCGGCAGGTTCCAGGGCTCGTATGAGCCGTCCCTCGCCCCGGCGCCGCCCGACATGACGAGAGAGATGTCGGTGTCTACCTCTGTCATGTCGGCCTGTGTGGGCTGCCGCTGGATGGTCAGCTTGATGCCGGAGCCCTGGGGCCCCTCCAGCCTCCGATAAACCTGTGTGAATGAATGCGCGTATCGGTGCCCTGCGTGTGCTGGCCAGGGGGAGAGGTGCGCGCGTACCTCATCTACCGATTTCGGCACGTCTGTGTTGTCGATGCTGACGATGCAGTCGCCGATCCGCAGCCCACACGACTCGGCAGGGGAGGAGGGGTACACTGCACCACACACACACACACACACACAGAGGCAGCAACACATGCATGGCGTCAGTCACGCGCTCTCCTTTGTGCTTTTCTTTCCTCTTGACTCTCACCGCCGACGATTTCTGCGACGGTGGTCTTGCCCCTCCCCGTGGACACTGGGCCCTTGTTGCCCATAGCCACGCTCTTCAACGCAATCTGCACACCGATGCTCGCCGGCTGCTGCCGCTGCCGCTGCTGCTGGGGAGGTGTCGCACCCTCGTAGCCGTTGACGTTGTTGCCATTGTGGCCATTGTCTGTGGAAGTGGTGCGAATTCTGTTCTGGAAGTTGGTCTGTGAGGGCGAGGGCCGTCCCTCCACCTGCTCGACACGATTCGGCGGGATGTACTCTGATGACGTCATGCGATCAACCACACAGGAGGTCCTCCCCCTGCCCCTCTCTCTCTCTCTCTCTCTGTGTGTGTGTGTGTGTGTGTGTGCCTGTGTAAGGGTCTTGTAGGAAGCTGAGCAGGTCTCTGATGGCTTTCCTGGTGCCGTCCACGGTGGTCAGCGCGTCGGCCTTGGAGTTTGGAATGGTGGGGTACAGGTACTGGTTGAGCGCCTGACGCCACGCCTTGTCCGAGGGCTCGAACTTCTCACCACCTACACACACACATGATGTATCGGGTGCCGTTGATATGCATGTGTTCTCTCTCTCTCTCTCTCTCCATGTCGCAGGTACCTGTTGGATCATAGAACAGCAGACTCGCGATCTGCCAGACCTGCTCCACAATGGCCTTGTTGGCCTTGAACACCATCTCAGGGTCGCCGCTGTCTACCACAGCCTTGTACAGCTCAGCCTGACACACAAACACACACACACATATCCATTGTCGGCAGCGAGCCACCAAATCCACCAAAGGTACCTACCTGTAGAATCCTCTTCTCTCTCGGCGAGAGGTCTTCAGGTATGGCCCAGGGTGGCAGGGGGAAGGCGTCGGCGTGCAGATCGTGAAAAGGAAACATCGGTCGCGATGACGGGCCCAAAGCTGCCGGCGTGGCCACTGCAGCATCAGCGGCGAGTGTGGGAGAGGCGGGGGAAGGGCACAGGGGAAGCGCCGGCTGACACACGACACACAGAGAGAGGGACACAGCGGCATGCCAAAATACTGACGACCTATCGTGTTTAACTTATCTCTGTTGTTTGTTTGCTGACCAGCAGCAGTGCCAGCAGTGATGTGAGGCACCCGATCACAAGATTGCTTAGCCGATCAGCCGCTGCTGTTGCTCCTGCTGGTGGTGGCTCTGGGGCTTCACGCTCGTCATCTTGCAGTGACCTCTGTTGCAGCCTCGTCGTTCGGCGCCTGTGTGATGTGAGAGAGAACACACAGCTGACTGAGTGAGTGCATCATGAGATCCGTCTGTTCGTTCGTGTGGCTGTTCTGTTTGCACCTGTTGCAAGAGAGAGGCTGCAGCTGAGATGGTCGCCACGAAGGCACGAAGGCACCCTGCACGCACACACGCAGAGAGGGACACCAGACGCAAGACCATTGGTATCATCGATCTGCTACGATCTGCTGACTGACTGACGTTCGTGTCGATGCATAACGACGCTATGGCGAGGAGGAGAAGGAGCATCTTCATCTTGGTTCATTCCTTCAAGTTGCGAGCTAAGGGCGCTCTCCCTCGCGAGCCTGGAGAGATCTGCGTTTTGAGGCCTCACGAGAGATCTGCGTTTTGTGCATTTGTGCCGCCATTTGTTGGCGGTTCATCAGCTTGACCTGAGCTTTAGCTGCCGGTGGGTCGGCTGTGACAGCGATGAATGGACACAGTGAAGGGGAGGCCGAGCCCGCTGTCATACCGGTGTGCTTCAAGGTGACTGACACCAGCGCTGCGGCAGCCGTGCAAGAAGCAGCAAGGAAATATCATCACACAAGCGGGCTTGTGTTGGTTGTCAGGTGAAGGCCTACACGAAGCCTGGGGAGCAGCTGAGGGTGGTGGGCAACCACCCAGCACTCGGATACTGGGACGTAAGCAATGAAGCAAACAACCGCGCACACACACGCAGAGTAGACTCCAGCTGTACGTGTGTTCCTCATTGTGTCATGTGCGTGCGTTGCGTTCAGTTCCTGCAGGCCGTGGACATGCGGACGAACGAGGTGTCCTTCCCCGTCTGGGAGAGCCTGCCCGTCCAGATCACCGCAGTACAAGACAGAGAAACCGTAAGTGGCGGTGGTGGTGGTGAACACGCTGCACCCTCTCACCTCACAAGCAGACACACACACGTTCGTTCATGTCACGCGCCGCCCACCATCAATCATCTATCTCATCGATCGTATGATCGCTCAGGTGGTCGAGTACAAGTACATCATCTGCCGCGACCGTGACCACCACTGGGAGGACCACGAGTACGGCCACCACCGTACGGTCACCCTCCCGCCCATCCAGTCCCTACACGTCGTCATGCAGCCCCAACAGCAGCAGCAGCAACACCATCAGCAGTTGACACACAGGGCCAACGCCCCCCCGCCGTCCCTCACCCCGCGTACCCATCACAGCAGCTGCGGCAGTGAGAGAGAGGCGGGGGGCAAGGGCGCGTTCATTGCCGAGGCGTCGGTGAGCATGGAGTCGACCGCTGCGGGCACACCGAGGTTGGAGGGAGAGGGAGGGGGAGGGGGAGGGAGCGGGGTGCCGGTGGTGGACGTCAAGTACGCCCTGTGCATCTGTGACGACTCCTTCGGGGGTACGTGAGGACAGTTTCTTGCCCGTCCGTGGCTGCGGTGATGTCTGTATGGTTTCCTTGGTGTTGGTTTCCCTCTCTGTCTGTCTGTCTGTCTGTCTGTCTGTCTGTCAGATTGGCGTCGCGCCCCCACTCTGTCGCTCATCAACCGACACATCGCCCTGTCCGAGATGGTGGTGCACTTCCAGGCCGGCGAGACACAGACCGACAGCAGCACCACTCACCTCAACCCCGAGATTCTCCACTTCTACAGCAACCCCATCATGCTCCCTGAAGACGACCCTCGACGGTGGGCCAAGGCGGTGACGATGCCGGCGAGGCCTGATGACGTGGATGGGGAGGAGGAGAGTGAGGAGAGCTACGGGTACAGCGAGGAGGGGTTCGTGTGTCATCTCAAGGGTGTGGGTGTGGGTGAGCATGTGAGTGACCGCGAGTTGTTTGAGTATGTGCCGGGTCTGGCTGCGTCGATGCCTCTGCTCGAGACCATGATCGACCGGTTCATCGATGACGACCTGTAGTGGCACCATGTAGAATGGAATGTGATGACAAGTGAGCCTCCTGTCCGTTGTGTGTTGTGTGCCGAGTTTGTGCGTGTGTGTTGCTAGTCTAGTCTAGTCCTGGCATGTCCATCTACTCTGTCTGTCTCCGTATGGTTGTGGGTCGGTCGGGTGCGCTAGTGGGGGTGGGGGAGCCGCCGTGGAGTGGCGTGTGGTGATCGCGATGCCGTCGTGTGAGATCCATCCATCCCTTCTTTTTCGCGTCCCGCTTTTGCTGATCGATCGACGTGTGAAAATGCTATGGATGGATGGGATGGATGGATGACTCCATACATACATACATACATGGGAAGCCAAGCCCCCCGCCCCCCATCTCTCTCTCTGCCTCGCTGCATTCCATTCTGGCTGCTTTCTCGTCGTGTGTGCGTATCTGCGTGTGGGCATCGCATCTTTGGGTCAGTCCGTCCGTCCGTATGGGCGCGTCGCATTCGTCGTCAACCGATTGTGCGAGCGCGCCACTCTTTGCACGCTGTGGGTATGATTTAGTGTGGCTGGCTGCGTCACGTGCATCATCGTACGAAGGAGAGAGAGGCTGGCTGAGTTGAGTGAGTGAATGTGCCCTGGTGCCGGGCTAGTTGGGTCTTGATTCCGTCCATGAGTGGCTGTCTGTGCATCAGCTGTGGTCTTCTCTCGAAGGCAACGACGAGTACGGCCAGGTGCTGCATCTTGCCTGCTGCAGCGCTTGTGCGTGCCGTCGCCCGCACAGAGATGACACACAGCCAATCGACGCAGATGCGAAGCGACGTCACACACGGATGCTTGGTGTTTTGTGTCACACGGACACACACCCGATTTGGGCTGGTTGTGTGTTTGTGAGCTAGTGGGGAGCGTGCCTAAGGGGTGGGTGAGTGGCCTTGAAGAGATTGGCTGTGGGTCTTCTGTCGTGTCGGATTGACATGTATACCAGAGGCTGCACCGTGATTGGTTTGCAGCGCTTGTACGTGTCGGATCCAGCCGACGGGAGGGACACAGCCAGCCGATCGGCACCCACCGATGCGACTCTGCACGCTGGTGTTTTTGTGTGTCGTTCATTGCCTGGCGGGTGCTGCATGGTACCCTGCCCGCCTGTCTGTCTGTCTGTCTTTCTGTCTGTCTGTCGGTCTTTCTGTCTTAGTGCCTGGTCCATCTGGGCAGTCAGTCGTGGTCGTTGGTTGTTTGGACGGTGCCGTGCGCTGGTGCTCCCTCCCTTGCCCCTGCCTGCCTGCCTGCCTGTCATGTCATGTCAACATGCGTGTTCATATCATCATCATCATACACATGTTGATTAGTATTTATATACCCTCCCGTCCGTTGGACATCCATACCATCCATACCCCCTTGCTGAGTTTATAATTCGACCTACCTACCTACCTACCTACCTGTCTGCTGCATGTGATGTGTGGTTTTTACCGCCTTGCCTTTTTGAAGCCCCACCCATCCATTACACACACCCATTACACACACCCATCCACCACACACACCCTGCCTGTCTGCCTGCCTGCCTGCCTGTCTGGCTGCGTGGCTAAAGTCCTGTTGGTGACTGTGATAATTCTGCAAGCCAAGCCTTCCCCCCCACACACATGCACACATACACTCACCAGACATGCGGGAGTAATGCGGCAGTGAATGCCTTGTGGCTCTTTGCGTGTTCTGAGGCAGCCCATTTTTCTGTTCTACATTGCATGCAGAACGGTAGGTGGTTCGTAAAGGGGTTTGCTGAAGGGTGGGTGCTCGACTCACTTTGATGGGTTTCGTATACGTGCCCGTACGTGACAGACAGTCATGTGTGTGTTGTGAGTGTTCGTCACATTTGCACGGACTTCCTTGTTCATTCGAACAACATGATTGGTCTGTCTCTGTCGGGGCGAATGTCTCTCTCGCACGCACACACGCCCTCCACAAACATAAACAGATCTAATGTACAGTCAGCCCACACAACAAACACCCCCCTATCTCTCCTATCACTCGCCCGCCCCCTCCACACTCACCAGCCGCCCCCCCGCCTTCGTCGGGTCCCTATCAGCCGGCAAAATCACCCTCTCACCGCTAACCAACAAACCCGGATCTGTCTGTCTCTCCCTCTCCCTCTCCCCCTGTGCATCCCCAGCCTCCCTGCGAATGAGCTTGTACCGGTACCTCTTGGCGATGCCGCTCACGACGTTGTGCTCGATGTTCATGAGCTCCATCTCGTTGTAGCGGGGGTGCCGCACGAACCGGGAGGGCGGCGGCTTGGTGTCGGCTCCGTGGGCGGGGGGGATGATGAACCCTGGCAGCTGAAGACGGTCGATGCCCGTCAGACTCTGCACACACACAGAGAGAGAGGGGGGGGGGTGGTTGTGTGTGTGTGTGTGGGGGGGGGG